GGGCACGTGTGGCCAGCATGTCATGGCCTTTGATTGCAAGTATGCAGGCAGCACACTTGTCCAATCAAAAGAGGCATGTTTTCTCCAAATTTGTCAAAATGTTATTTTTATCTGTTTTCTCCCTTTTTGACAGTTTCCTTTTAGTTTTGGTACTGGAAAATCCCAAAGCACTTGTGCAAGCCTGAACCCTGAGAATCCTTGTGAGAAAAAGCCTTGAGAATTGAGAGGGCAAATTTTGGGCTACAACCCCTGTACACGAGTTCGATACAGGCACGAGACAATTCTTTTTCATGTTTTGTGATTCTTACAGATCCAATGAAAGCATACCTAACACACTCACCATGCGCCTCACCTCATCACCATTAGATCATCACAAGATCATATCCAGCGTCCCACGTTTCGTATACACACCATGAGTCTCTTAGAGCCAGCCACGCTGGATTGTCACAAGCACATAGGCTCATGGTTTAGGCCTAGCAATTCATGCTTCTCATACCCCCCCCCCCCCCCCCCCCCAATTTTACTTCTTCGGACCCATCTCTCCATTTCTTTTTAATTATTTTATTCTAATTTTTTTTTACATAATTAACTTTTTCTCTAATTAATTAAAATTATATCAATTTAATCTTTTTTAATTAAAATCAAATTAACTTAACTTTATTTTCAAATTAATTTAACTTTTTTTTAATAATTGAATTAATTAACTTAGTTTCTTTAGGCTTTTATTATTAAACTTTTTTCCGATTAAATATAATTTAGGGTTTTATTTTAGGTTTTAATTAATTCTCTTTTCTCAATTAAAATCAACTGATCATTAGGATAAATCATCAATTATTTTCCATTAAACAATTTCTCCGTTTCTTTCCATAATCTTCACGTTTTTCTTATTTTTGCATTAGTTTTTACAATTATGTATTTGCTAAAGGGTGTAATAGTTAATTAGGTTTTTCCTACTTGCTTCTCCCGATTTTTGTGGATTGTACCCCCTCCCCGAAGCTTTGTAATAGCGTAGGACATTTAATTTCTACAATTTACTGCTTTCCTTATTACTGTATAATAACTAGGCTTGTATGGTAAGATCTGAAACAAAACGCTGGATAACCTTAAATACAAGATAAAATAACTGAATCAAAACACTACTCACACACACACCTCTAGGGTGACCCCACTTGTTTCTTTCAGATAAAACAGTCATGTCCCTCGAACGTGGGACGCTTTAGCAAATACCCTCGGTTAAAAAGATCGTAGTCCCTCGATAACCCTTCGATGCTGCCTTCGATAAACGATCTTAGTCCCTTACGAAAAATTGCTAAAGCGCCCTACGAGTTGCCTTTATGACTGTACGATGGCCCACGTCTGTCCCTTAAACATCCAACGATAGGGATTCCTACTAACTAATGGCAGGATAACACTATCTAAAGGAATAGGAAAATAACGCAAAAGACTTTTAAGTAGGTAGATAGCTCGTAGTCGCTTGCTCACAAACAAAAACATTTTTTTCACACAAAACACTTATTTTTTGAAATATTCTCAAAACAAACACTTTGTATGTGTTCTCAACGATACGAGAGTCATTACAAAGTTTACCGCACTTAGGCATTTTCAAAATATTTTCTAACACATTCGCAAAGCATTTTCAAAAGTGAGCTAGCGATTAAGAGCCCGTTGATAACTACAGATGAAAAGGGTGATAACACCTTCCATTTTCATAACTTATCCCCCGAACTTAAAATCTTAAAAAGTCTTTCCTGTTATTTTCACCTTTCCTTATTGGATAAAATAAAATTCGGTGGCGACTCTTTCTAACCACAACATTTGCGATAAAACTCAAAACAAAAAGTCAGTTCTTCCACCGTATTACAGAACTGGCGACTCTGTTGGGGAATGACTAAAAGTGGAGTTACCTTAGAGTTAGATCACATTTAAAATGCTTTACCAACTGAGATATGCCTTCAATCTGTTAATATAACACAACAAAAATAATTATATAATAAACAAAACCAGTGAGCCGGAGAAGCGTCGGAGCCCTAACTCTGATCGTCTTCTCCAGCCAGACCTTTTTTTTCTTGCAAGAATAACGCGCGTTAGAGCCAAAGGAGGACCCTATCCCCCTAAATTAACCCTCTTGAATCCAATGGTAATGTTATTTTTTACTAATTCGACCTGCATAACGAGATACGACTAAAATAAAGTAAAAACAACACGATTATGGCAATGGAGTGTTCTGGCATTATGGGACTCATGCAAGGGGTGAAACCTACACTAATTGATTTCAAGAACACGTTAGAATTGTTAGTTTCAAGCAAAATATCATAAATATTAAAATACAAAATTCATGAAATATGTGAAATCAGAATGCATAATGCGTGTTTCAAGCACGTTTGGTCATCAATAATGATCCATACTTACTCTATGATACCTCAAAAATTGATTGGGATGATTGACTGACCTCGAGGATGCTTGCAAATAGGGTTTCAGTTTCCACCTTCTTCTTGCAAATTTTTGGCCACAAACCCTTGTTTCTTGCAGCCTCTTTTCGTGTATGCTTTAGTCTGAATATGATGGATATACATAGATGAAGAGATTAGGTAAAAAACACGGGCTTGGACCTCATGTAAAACATGTTTTTTATTTGTTTTGGAAATAGATTGAAAAGTGATAAAATTATGGAGATTTGTTTGAAAAATAAGTATGCATGGTTTCTATCATGATCTTGGGCCTAAAATATAATCAAATCAAAAGCCTTTTATGCCTTACACATTTATCTAATATTTATTTGATTTAATTTTAAATTTAAATGAATAAAAATCAAAATAAATGAAATAAAAATTAAAATAATGCATGAGGGGACTTAGAGGTCTTCTAATATATCATGAACATGTTTAGACCTTAAAAGATAGGTCAATTAGCGCAAAAGTCAAGTTTGCTTCAAATTGAATTTCATGTATTTTCTCAAAATTGTCAAACTTGCACCAATCATATCTCACTCAATTTTCATCATATAAAGGTGATCTTGGACTTTTTGGAAACCTAAAGATGTCTCTTACAACTTTTATGTTATTCATTTTTCATTTGAAGCCTTTATCTTTATGTAAAGTGTTTTGACAACAAGTGTCTTTTTGTTGACTTTTAAAATGACCTATAACGTTTTGGCTCACATCTCTCAAATGAAGCATTTTTGGACTTGAGCTTAAAAAGACAAAGTTGTATAGAATTTAATTTCCAACAAAGTAGGATTTGGTTGATAACTTTATAATGAAGTATGTGAAAGTTATGCTTGGTCAAAGTTCAGTTGACTTCTCCTTAAGAAAACTCTAATTTAGTAACTTTTGACTTTTGATGAATCTTGAGTTTTCTTGATGAATCATGATCAAACCTTGATCAAATGATGAATATGAGTTCAAAATATTGATCTTGACAGAAATCTTGAAGTTTGACTATAAATTGGTCAAAGTTGACTTTTTGTCCAATACAATTAATTTTTAATCATCTGAGTAGTTGACTGAGCAAACTTGTGCTGCAAGACTTGAAACTTGGCATGAGGATTATTTGAAGCATATGAGGAACCATGAAATCCACTTGAGATATTAGAAGTCTAATTTCCCTTGGGGAAAACAAAACCCTAGTTGTAGATCAATGCTTAGGAGGATGATTTGTCTGGTCAACTCTTGAGTAATCTTAAGCAATTGAGACCTTTATGAGCATGTAAAGGTATCTTAAATTAATTTGTCTTGAATAATGGAAGAATAAATTTTGGGGTACAACAATGTTAAATCAGATGAAGTGAATGATGATGTTAAATCGGGTGCTCGATAGATCGTTGTTGAGGTAGACGTTCATGGATAATTTACGAATAAACAAGACTTTATTTTACGTGAACATGGCTACAACGGGTCCACAGTGAGGCCGAAAAATTGGGGTTTGACGTTATAATCGAAAGATCCGATAATGGTTCAGATAGAAGACATGCATTTGCAACAATGAGAAGTGAGAAGTGGCACATACCAGCCACATATTAGGAAGTTAAAACGAGATGACATTGAATCGAGAAAATGAGAGCGTCCATTTAAATTGCGTGAATATCATATGGCGGATGAAACAAGGAAATTTAGTGTGATTTGTGGTATACATAACCAATGGCGCAAAATCCCCACTTCAATTTTGGGTCCTCGTGGACATACTTATCGTAGATGTGAAATCCAAATTAAATACTCTCCTACGATATCCAAAGAATCAAAGAGTTGTCAAGCTCAAGTACAATTCACACTCGATTGACAATGAAGGGAAGATACACTTCACCATGCTTGAACTAAATACAGATGATGATTTAAAGGTTATGTGCAATATCTTTTATCGTTACTCAACAAAGAATTCAATTGAAATGGACACAATGATTGCAAGATCGACTGAAGATATTTTAAAAATGTTACAACGTCCTAAATCACCCGTTTATAATTAAATGTAATGTTAAATTTACGTTAATGTTAACTTTTATTTATACAATGTTTATTTTAAAGTTAATTTATCTTGTTATTCCATTATTTTGTCACCATTCTTGATTGTTTCTGGTTTGAATTAACCAAATATATTTCAAAAATACATTTATAAAATAACTCTTTACGTATACGAAGATACATATTCAGACTAACTTTTAATAAAATAAAAAATCTCAAAATTTTTATCTAAAATGTGTGTGAAAAATGTGAGTTCAAAAATATATCTTTGAGAGATTTGTGACTTTTTAGAACTGTGGAACAACACATAAGGTGGAACAACATTTGTGACTTTTTTGTATTTGTATTTGTTTTTCCACACTTACAACAATTTGACCTTATTTTGTTTTTCCCACTTATTTAAATCCGGAGACTCCCGTTGATTGAATTTTCAAAAAAATTGGGGCATCCACTCCCTCTGCCGAACGCCGAGACTGACAGACACACTCATTCATTTCGGCGGGAAAATCAATACCCTACAGAATCCGTGGCGGGTTTCAGTAACCAATGGCTGGACGCAGCGTCACCGTGCTTAACGTGGCGGAGAAGCCGTCGGTAGCGAAAGCAGTGGCCAAAATACTTTCAGGGAACCCAATCCTTCGAGGGAGAGACGGTCGTTCTCGCTACAACCAGATCTTCGAGTTCGACTACACCATTCGCGACCAACCCTGTAGAATGCACTTCACCTCCGTCATTGGCCATCTCATGGAGCTCGAATTCGATGCGCGTTACCGCAAATGGCACTCTTGCGATCCCCTCGATCTCTTCCAGGCTCCTGTCCATAAAACGGTTCCCGAGGTCAGTTCTTTTCTCTCTTGTTCTTCTTCATTATCATTACAATGTTATTATCTCTTTTCAACATCGCTGATTCTCTGTGCAATTTTGCTTTGTGTTTTAACCCTAGGATAAAAAGGATATCAAGAGGACACTAGAGGAAGAAGCTAGGCGGTGTCAGTGGCTTGTTTTGTGGCTCGATTGCGATAGGGAAGGTGAGAATATTGCCTTTGAAGTTGTAGACGTATGTACTGCGGTAAATCCTCATCTCACTATCAAGAGGGCTCGATTTTCCGCATTGGTCCCCAGGTTTGATGCCGTTTCACGATGGTTCTAGTTGATTTTTTTTATTTTTTTTTATTTTCATTAAAGTGTTTGCGGCATGCATTTCACATTGAAGACATATCTATTGTCCAACATGTGTAATGTAACACATTAGTTTAATAACTTTTATTTTCTTAAATTATTATCATTGTCTACGGGTCAATGTCTATGCGTTTTGTGTCCGGTATCTTTGATGTTTCATAATGTTTGATTGTTGCTGCTTTGATGCAGTGAAATCCATGAGTCCGTGCAAAATCTTGTCGAGCCAAATAAGTGGTTTTCTGATGCTGTGGATGCTAGGCAGGTGAGTTGCATTTTTTTGACTATGGGATTTTGTGTTCCAATTGAAACAAGAATCTGATATTATTGGCTTCTATTCTATCACTTTACTTATACTAAACTAATAACCAAAATATGGTAATTGATATTGTAACTTTATGTGGGTGGTTAATTTTGTTGTTGTTTTAGGAAATTGATCTTCGTATAGGCGCTTCATTCACCAGATTTCAGACCATGTTAATGAAAGATGCTTTTAACATAGATACTGTTACAGATGGCAGAAATACTGTCTTGAGTTATGGCCCTTGCCAGGTGGGCTTATGTTGACAATATGGAAACATTGTGTAGTTTTTGTGCTTAAACTGGTACAGGCTTATTACGAGTTTCCATTTTACCTTCATTTTTACTACAGTTTCCTACACTTGGATTTGTTGTGGAAAGATATTGGGAGATACAAGCACATGAACCAGAAGAGTTTTGGTCAATCAATTGCTCTCATAGATCCGATGAAGGCACTGCTAATTTCAGTTGGGGGTAGTATGCAAAGCTTTTGGTGCGTTCATAATTCTTGTTGAGTTTTACTAACTACTTATAATCTGGATTCACTTGGCAGACGTGGGCATTTGTTTGATTATACATGTGCTGTCATAATATATGAGATGTGCATCGAGGAACCAACTGCAACGGTAACTCTTCCCAAAATTTTGTGGCTTGACATATACTGAACTCAACCTTTTTACTAATGGTACATATTATTACCATTTAGGTGACAAACGTTAGACAACAAGAGAAGCTTAAGTATCCTCCCCATCCTCTGAGTACTATTGAGCTTGAGAAACGGGCTTCGCGATACTTTCGGATGAGCTCTGAGCACACAATGAAGGTTAGTAAATGTTGAGAATCCATTTATTTCATTGTTTGTGTTGTACTTATAAGTAATGCGCATTTAAGTCTACAACTCATTCTGGATGATTTATGTTGTTCAAAGTAGACTGACTTCACAATTTTGAATATATAAAATTAAGTAATGCATTTGTAGACGATACCAAAGAAAAATTCCAAAAAAACTTATGACTAAATGAATCCGTAACTATGTTTGCATGCATATGTACCATGCAAGAGGTGCATTTCGTTCACCAGATTTTCTAATTGCTTTTATGCCATTGTATTTATTCATTGGACAATTGTTTTCTGTTAACCTTTATCTCTATTTGCCACAATGTGCTGAATAAACACAATAAACTACACAATAACATGCTTACAATTAGTGACAGACAAACACATTAAACTACACAACATGTTTTTATATGCATCTCTTTCTTATTCCTTATTTAATTCTTTATAGGCGGCTGAAGAACTTTACCAAGGTGGTTTCATCAGTTATCCTCGTACTGAAACTGATAATTTTTCTTCAAGGACTGATTTGCGTGTGGGTAACTTCTGTTCCAAGCACAAATAATTATTACAGTTACTAGTTAGCCATTCTCAATAGATTTGGAGAACATGCTGTGTGATATGAATTTTTGGAACTGTTTGTCTGTGTTATATACTACAAATAAAATAAAATGGGTTAAATAAATTATGCTTGTTGAAATAATGAAACTGAGAAGGAATTTGAGTGAATCTGCATGTCTCAATTACATCATGTAGAGTATTTTTATATAATTAATTAATAAGCAATGCCTAATTACTACAATTACCCTATAACAATGACTTTGAAGAGGAGTTCTCTATGTCATGGTTAAGGTGGAAACAACGAAATATGTAGTGTTTATCACTTTACATTTTGCTGGAAATTCATTAGAATACAGTATGAGTATATGACTACTTGTAGATACATAAAGAGTGGGTTGGATAAGATTGAATTAAATAATATATCATCCGATAATATTTCACATGAGTTCTCTTTGTCACGATTTTTTAATACTTTGTAACACACTCATAGAATGTATGATTTTAAACGAGTTAGGATATTCTGTCTTTTGAAGCCACTATACTAAATTACGACATTTCACATGCGTTATTCGGCTTGTACTGTAGTTTGTGTTAACAATATCGTTGGTTCACCCTTATTAACAGAATGAGATGTGATTTCATGTCATTGAAAAATAGAATTACATTTTATGTTATATGTACAACCAATTACAGGGATATCTATATCCATTATTATCTTACACCAATCAAAGGGGTTAACCTATACACTTGTAAACTACGGTTTGAGCAGTTGTAACTGCTCTTACCACACGATACCACATGGCAGGACATTATAGAATGGAAGCTAGAAAGAATAACAAAAAGATAGCAGCTAGAAGTAAGGAATTCTATTCTAATACCTCCCACAAGATCAGTACGGATCAGAGTAGTCAATCCCGAATAACGGAGCGGAGCGGCCGACCCCAAAAATAGAATAGGGTATAGCGGGATAATGGCTTTTTAATATTTTTTTTGGACAAATTTACAGGAATAATATTATATGCATAAACATACATTTACTGTAAAATTAAACAAATAACTCAATCATATATTCATAAATCAAAACACGAACCTTGATAAAAAACACTCGAGAGACAAAAAAAACAGAGGGGAAAGAGTAAAAAACATATAGGAGAGGGAAAAGAGTAAAAAACATATAGGAGAGGGAAAGAGTAAAAAAAGAAGAATGAAATAAAAAAGAGGGAAAAAAAGAAGGAAAAGAAATGAGGAAAAAAATAGAGAAGAAAAAAAGAAATGCCTTAAAGAAAGAAGAAAAAGAAAGATGATAGGAGAGGGATGATGAAGGTTGAATAACTGCAGAAGTAACATGCTTGAAACAGCGCATCAGATGGAAGAGGAAGAAGGACGGCTAGGTTAAACAACTTTACCACTAAAAACCCTAAATTACTCTTAAAATGTTTTAACTCTGAAGAGTAATTTTGATTTTTTAAGTGAAAAAAAATGAAATTGTCCTAAACTACTCTGGGCCGCGACCCACCCGCTTTTACGACCGCATAAACCCTAGCAGCGGCCGTGATCCTATTCCATGCCGCTACACGCCTTCCCACAGCGGACACCCTCCACTCCGCCCCTTACCGCTGCGATAGCGGCACTCAAGACCGCTATTGACTTCTCTGGTGTGGATGCAAAGCCAAAGCTAGAGCAACCACATTGATCTTGTCCCTGAATTCCAAAAATCTCGTGGAAGTAAAGGGATTGGTGAATATGTTTGGCTTTTTATCAACTCCTGAATGTGAAGCACATCCGACTGCTTATTCATAACCTTTCTTTGACAAAAAAGATATCAATTTCTATATGATTGGTTCTAGCTTGCAATATAGGATTGTGTGCCATAGCAACTATGCTTTGGTTATTGCAGTAGATAGTGGGTGGTTGAAAGGGAACTCTGAGCTCAGTGGGCAAGGTTGTGAGCCTAAGGACCTCTGCAACTACTAGGGAAAGACTTTGATATTTTCTGCACTTGAATGAACAACCACAATTTGCTTCTTTGACCACCAACAGAGGAAATTACGATCCATAAAGACTGTTGTACTTGAGGTAGAACGACGATCATATGAGTAACCTAGCCTGCATTAGAGTATGCACACAGGGAAAATGAGAGATTCAGAGCAGCAATATTAAGTAGTGACCCAAGATCCTGAGTGCCAATTAAGTTCTTAGGACTATCTTAATTGCAAGCCAGTGAATACCTAGTGGATGAGTCTTGAATTAACCCACTTCATTGACGGCACGAATAAGCGCATGTCTAGTGATTATGGCATATTTTGACAAATAAGCCCAAGTCTAGTGATTATGGCATATTTTGACGAATAAGCGCAAGTCTAGTGATTATAGCATATTGAAGAGTACTAGCTACTGACCTATAAAGAGCACGATCTAAGAAAGCAGGTGAACCTATCTTGGTGAGCCTGGTGGTAGATGCCATAGGGGCGGCCACACATTTGATGACTGGTGTGTTTGTTTTTGTTAAAAGGTCACATATGTACTTGCCTTAAGAAAGTACCAAATCAGGTTGAGATTTGACTTAAATTCCAAAAATGCGCCAAGTTGTTTAAGAGAAAACACTGTGTGAAGTTTAGTTATGATGGAAAAGATGAAAGAAAGAGAGTTGCTAGTGATGATTGTGTCATCTACATATACTAGGACATATACAATGCAACCACTAGAGCTATAAGTGAACAAGGATGAATCACACTTGCTAACCATTAAGTTGAAGT